CAGGCCCGTTCATCATGGAATGGGAGGCAACATGGAGGGGAAAGGTGGGGGTGTTGGGTGAGCTCGTTCCATGACCCCATGTGAGGTATTTGCTCTCTCTGAGCCCTCAGTTTCTGCTCTGCAAAGCGGAGCACTTAATAGGAATGTAGATCTAACAAAGTTAGCCCTTGTTCAAAGCCTACATCCTTGTTTATTAACAGAAAGCTTCTCTTGAAGGGCACAGTGTCTAAGAGGGTAGCTTTCCAACTCTGATGCACGGAGCCCTAGAGTTTGAGCAGGAAGCGTTCCAGGCTTCCCAGTCCTGTTTGAGCAAATGCACATATGTTATGTATGTTAGGTTACTAAATATGATTCTCATTTAAGAAAAAAGCATTCTGTCATCTCCCCTGCAACTCAATATTTTAAAAAGGCTAACCCTAAGAAAAGCCCTGGCCATGACTAGTACTCAAGCACCACACAAAAGTCACATTTCTCAGGCTTCCATGTAGCTAGTGTGCCCATATGACTAAATTCTGCAAGCAGAATTAAGCAGGAGTGGTGTATGCAATCACTAGGAACTGTCCTTAGAGGGAGAGAGTGCCTCCTTCTTCATTTCTTCCTCCTACCTACTGGCCAGAATTTGGATTGATGGCTAGAGCTCCAGCAGCCATTCTGGGCCATGCGTGGATTTTGAAAATAGAAGTCACATACACCAGGGCAACGAGATGGAAGGAACCTGGGTGCCTAACACAGTGGAGCTCCACTTCAGCCCTGCACTGACTTTCTTCTGCTACTTTGAACACGACTGAACCCATAAACCTTTATGGGGTTTAAGCCATATTTCTTCTATTACTTTTATATAGACTTCCTTAAAAGTGATAAAATGCCAACAGATCACAGTCAGTGGAATTTGCTGGGTTCTCTAAGGGCTACATTATTTGTCATTCAGGTCTGCCTTTGTTGGTATAGTGTGTTTGGACTCACACTCTCCCTCAACCACAAACTCTTTGTTCAGGAGGAGCCTGGGTCTTGTCACTGCACGGTGGATAGAGACAGCAAGAGGCTGGGAGGAGAGAGGACAAACCAAATCCAGGGCAGAACAATCCGTTTCCTCTGTCCCATCCGCTTGCTTGTTCTTTCACTTAGCCAACGCTGCCTGACTCTGCGCCAGGTAACGAGCAGCACCCCACCTCACCTGTACTGACCACACAGCGACGGAGGCATCACCCCCATTTTCCAGGTGGGGAAGCTGAGGTTCTGAGAGGTAAGGGACTGGCAGAATGAGAGGCAGTCTCTGTCTCCCTGAGCCCAGCACTGCTTATTTCTTTAATCACCAAACATATCTCCATTTGGCTAGCGGGAAATTGTCTGAGATATTCCATAAATTTACTCCAACAAAGTGGAGAATGAAGAAGTATGAAAAGTGCTCTGTTCCTGGAGGAGGCTGGTAAGAGGATGGGCTTAGTGGACCAGTTAACTGCCATCCGGGCGTGCCTTCCACATGCCCTGTTCTTGGAGTGGGTCGTCACTGATGTCATGTTTATGGAGCACCTTTTACTCCGGTGTGTTGGCAGCGTAGTTTTCTGTGCAGAACCACCATCACCCTGATTCACTGTCATGATTCAGAAGGAAAAATACCAGCCAGGGATGCAGACAGCTGAGTCTGATTCCAATTCTACCACCTACCAGCTGTGCACCTTCAGATAAATTGGTTAACCTCTCTGGGCTTCTGCCTCCCCTTTCAGGGCCTTTGAGAGGCTCTCCACTTTGCGTGTGCTCCTTTTGAGTGATTTAGATTTAGTCAAATCTAGTCGGGGCAGGGCCACCTTAGAATAGTCCAGGAAACTGCACTCTCAGTGGAAATTCAGGAACTTTCTGTGAAGCCCCCAAAATAATTCACATACATAAATATCAGGCTTCAGTTGCAGAGTTTCTTTTTATAAAAGAGAGGAGACATTTGAGAAGGAACTCTTGCTGTAGTTGAAATAGTCACTGTGATCATGTTTTTGCCTTCTCTTTGACCTTTCTCTTTTGGGAACCTCTTCCAGGAAGGAGTCCCATAGAAACGTGTTTCCGAAACTTATTTTGTGATAAGAATCACCTGGGGCACTTAATTAAACAAACGGAACCAGAATCCCAAGTTCACTTTCTGGGGTTGTGATCCTGCAGGTTGGGGTAAGGCCACAAATAAGTCTGTTTTGAGACAGATTTTCGCTCTGTTGCCTGGGCTATAGTGCAGTGGCATCAGCCTAGCTCACAGCGACCTCAGACTTCTGGGCCCAATCAGTCCTCCTGCCTCAGCCTCCCAAAGTGCTGAGATGACAGGCGCACGCCACCGCACCTGGCCCATAAATATTAAGAAGTGTCCCTGTGCCTGGGAGACTCTTTCAGTCACAGGAACTTGGGGAATACTTGCAGGGCACATCGCTCTAGAAATGAACTCAGCATCCAACCCTCTCATTTTATAGTTGGGGAAACCAAGGCCCAGAAAAACTGAATGTCTCATTCACCACTTTAGCTGGGGCTAAACTGAGACTTGAGTTCCAGTCCCAGGGCAACAAAGAAATGAAAACCAGAAGTTTGATGCCTGATCTTCCCTCTCATCGGCTATGTGATCTGGGGCAAGGGTCCTACTCAACCCGCAAAGGATTCAGTGTCCAGTGTCTGAAGAGTCAGGATGGTCGTGATGCCGTCAGATTTTTGAGATCTTGCACCTGGGTTAAGTGCTGACGATAAACAGGAGAGAAGCCAACGTGCCCTTGGTGATTCAAGCCCAAAGGGGGAGACAAGCAAAGAGCAGGGACCTCCAGTGTGAGCGGTGTGACCAAGCAGGGCGGGCACCCTGCAGATGTACTGAGCTCGCCTGGCCAGGCCTGGCCTGTTGGGGGAGTGGCGGCCTTCCTGAGAAAAAGATGGTAAAGGCCATGAAAGGGAACTAGAGTTCAGCCAGGTGACGACGAGGAGGAGAGCACTGCAGACATCAAGAACTGTGCAAAGACCAGGTAAGTATTAGAGACTTGGCCTCTGCAGGAGCCCAGAGAGGAGTCTGAAGGTAGCAAGGAAACGGGGAGGGAGGCTGGAGCAGATCAGGCAGGGGCTGCTCGGGGCATGTGTGCTCCATCCTAAAGGTGAGGGAAGGCACCCAACGGCAGTGGTGCCATCAGATTTGGGATGCACGTTTGTGAGCCTCAGAATCTTCATCTGAATACATGGAGTAGTCCTAATTTGCCCCCTGCTTTCTCTCTTGCCAATTCTCCACCCAGCAGCAAGCCAGAGTGATGCTTTCATAATGGAAGCCAAATCCTGACAATTCTTTGTTCAACAACCTCATCCCTCACTCAGCACAATGTCCAAAGTGGCCAGCGTGGCCTGGAAAGATCTGCCCCCAGTCCCAACGCCCACACTCTCCCCATTCTAACTGGACACAGCCTTGCTGGCCTCTCCACTGTCCCTCAACACTGAGCACCCTTCCTCTCCAGACCTTTGCTCCCTGCCTGGGGGTGGAGGGCCAGCCCGGACACCCACACGCTCCCTCGCTGCCTGGGCCTTCCCTGCCTGCCCAGCCATGCACTGTCCTTCTCCTTTGGGGCACTCACAACTGCCACCACATATACTTATTTGCCCAATTCTTTCTTGTCTGCTTCCCCATGAGAAGGTAAGTTGCATGGTAGCAGGGACTTGGGCATGCTTGCTGCTGTCTCCCCAGGGGCTGGCACAGAGCCAGCCAATAATTGTTGGGTCGATTGGCTGAACAATGCCCGTCTTGCGTGTTTAGTGACGGGCTCAAAGAACAGGACTACTGTACTGTGTGCTCAGTGAGTAGAGACTTCCTTATTTCTTTCTACCCACCTCCCCTTCCCAAACTTCTAGTTAGAAGTTCTTCCTGGGGCACCTTTCACCCTGGAGCCCCCAGTTGACCCCCCCCCCCAGACCTTCTGCCCTACCTGCCGGCACCCAGCTCTGTCCCCAACCATGTCACTAGGAAAGAGATGGGGGGTGTGCCAGGTACAAGGCAGTGCAGCTGGGGTGGTTGGGAAGTTGCCAGCTCTTGGATATAGTCATTGTCCTAGTTCCTATGGACCCTGTGTGGTCAGGGCCTGGTGTGGCCATCATGCCCAGGTGGCACCAAATTCATGCCAGGGCATGCAATAAGTCAGAACTGTTTTGTAGGGACAGAGAAAACAAACCCTTCCTTGAGCCTTGGCAGATGGGTTCCTCTCTGCTGACCTGTCACAAATAGACTGTGCTAATCTGGGTGTCCCTGGCAGTGCAAATGTGGGACCATGTGCAGAAAGCCTGTACACTTTCCTCTTCCTACAGCACAGCTTCGAGATTCCCAGAGAAGGCAGAGCTGCTTATAGTGGAGTGGCCCAAGCAACCGACTGGGAGGGCTTTCTCACCCTGCTTCCTTACCCACAGCCCGCTCTGACTCAAATAAGAAATGGACGGTGGCTCACGCCTGTAATCCTAGCACTCTGGGAGGCTGAGGCGGGCGGATTGCTCAAGGTCAGGAGTTCGAAACCAGCCTGAGCGAGACCCCGTCTCTACCAAAAATAGAAAGAAATTAATTGACCAACTAAAAATATATATACAAAAAATTAGCCGGGCATGGTGGCACATGCCTGTAGTCCCAGCTACTCGAGAGGCTGAGGCAGTAGGATTGCTGAGCCCAGGAGTTTGAGGTTGCTGTGAGCGAGGCTGATGCCACGGCACTCACGCTAGCCTGGGCAACAAAGTGAGACTCTGTCTTAAAGAAAAAAAAAAAATAAGAAATGGAGACGTTGACAAGCTTCTCTGAGAAGGCAGCCCTGGAAACTGTCGAGGAGTCTTTAAAAATCATCTAGTTCAAAGGTGTTTAACCTGAGGCTCTTGGATCATGAAGGAATTTGGACATGGGCCCTGAATTTGTGTGCAAAATACAGGTGTATGTGCATTTCTGTGGATAGAGGGTCCACCGCTTTATTAAGATTCTCAGAACCAACTTGTGTAAATGTCTGGCCCGGAGATGAGAAACGACTCACCTAAGATCTCAGGGTCAGTGGCAGCTCAGCCTCCCCCTCCACGTCTGCTGCTGCTCATGACCCGTGTCCGCGAGGTCATTGGCACTGTTTAGAACAAATGAAGAACTAGTCGGTAATAGCAAACCCAGGAACTATTAACGTAAAAACAAAGCTCAAGGAACAGCAATAAAAAAGAAAATGCAACAATATATTAACCACAATGGTCTCCATGAGAGATGAAGTGAAGGCCTTTTTCTTGTCTCTTTTCTTTTTTATTTTTCTGTATTTTCCAGATTTCCTATGAGCAAGCATTTACATTTAATCATCATTAAAAGAGGCTAGGCACAGTGGGTCTTGCCTATAATTCCAGCACTTTGGGCCACTTAAGTGGGAGGGTCACTTTAGGTCAGGAGTTTGAGATCAGCCTGAGCAACATAGAGAGAACCCCCAAAATAGAAAAATTAGCCGGGCGTGGTGGTATGTGCCTGTAGTCCCAGCTACTTGGGAGGCTGAGGCAGGAGGATCGCTTGAGCCCAGGAGTTTGAGGTTGCAGTGAGCTGTGATGATACCACTGCATTCCAGCTTGGGCAACAGAGAAAGAACCTATCTCAAAAAACAACAGCAACATAAAAATCATTAAATGAAAAAACTTTCTTTAGGAGAAACAAACTACTGTAGTTATCTAAAAGCAGCTCTATCTAGCACTTCTTTTTAGAGGCTTTTAGGTTTTTAAAAGTGCTACTATTGTTCAATTTTATAGGTGAGATATTTTGGAAACCAGCTTTTCTGGAAAAGAGCATGAACATTTTCAAATGCATCTGTTTTCATTCTGGAAGCATTTAGTTGAAGAAGGAGTTAATGGACATGCTTTAAAGGACAATTTTCATGCTCTGATATGTTCCATTAAGTGGCAGGGTGCATTCTCTGGAAAGATGCTTTTTTTTATGGATAGTTTTGATGTGGCAAAGGTTTCAGCTCACTCGAACTTGAAGTAAAGTTTCACTTCTTCGGGGACCAAGCTAAATGTGATGAGCTAAATTTGCCCTTAGATACCACTCCAGGGCAATTCTCTACCTTTCTATTCTTAGCGTCAATGGCAGTTTTCAAAATATTTAATTATAAACTGTTTCTTCAGCTGATGAGCACAAAGTGATAGCTATTAAATTCAGTATCTATAAGATTTCCTTAAATAAATGTAATTGCCATACAAATTCTTGAAATCAGCTATTATTATTGCCATAAATACCTCTCTTGCCTTTTCTGTTCTCAGGTAAACCAACACTAGTTCTGGCCTCAAGAAAAATGTTAATTAGGTAGGCATCACCAAGGTATGGGACCTCATTGTAAATCAATTGTTTTGATTCATCGTGGGGTAGGTGTCTATGTAGTTTAGACTCCGCTCACACAAAAAGGAGACTATATAAAATCATTCTCATCGTTGTGGAAATAGGACAGGCTGTTTTTTGTTTACTCATTGGCCTGTTAAAAAATCAGGCTTCCACATCTATGCCTGTTTTATGTGTAGCTCTGCTATCTTCTAGAATTCCATACTGAATTTGTAAGGCTAAAAATAATTTACATGAATATAAGCCATTTTGTCTTTAAACATATGTCTGACTTCAAACCCTGGCGCTGCCTTTTACTAGCTGTGTAACCCCAGGCAGCTTGTACAACTTCTCGGACCCTCACCCGTAAAACACGGGTGGGAATTCACATCTGGTAAGATTTCTGTGAGGTTTTTTAGGAAATCAAGTATGTTATGGCATTATTAGCACAGTGTGTAGCACACAGCACACATTTAAATTCATTTCCTTTTCCCCACCTACTTCTCAGAGAATAATGTCAATATTATTCAATGACGCAAACATGAATCGGGCATTTGTTATGTAAAAAGTCCTAGAGATACGAACACTTCACTCATGCCTTTAAAAATCTTACCGTCTTGCAGGGAGGACAGAGCCTTTGCTATGCCCTAATTATGTCAGATTAGAAAAACTGCTTTAAATGAAGCGTAAAGACAGTGTTCTGGGAGCCAAGGAAGAGGCATCCTAATCTCACTTGGTATGATTTTACCAAAAAGGGTTAAAGTACCTCAAGCCATCCCTTGAAGGATGAGTAAGTTGTGGCCCCAAAGAGGAGCAAGACTTTGGACCACTGAGAATGAGGAGGGAACATCGTGAGAGGCGGCAGCAAGAGCAGAGGCAAGGACGGATAAAGGTGCGTGGTGTCATCCGGGAATCTTCTGGAGGGTAAGATCTCCTGGAGAGAAACGACCAAGTGCTGGAGAGAGAGATGCAGAAACAGGGTGTCCAGAGGGCCAGGCGCAAATAGCTGTGGCTCTTCCATGTTGCCTCCGCCAAGTTCCCGGCCCCTAAAGCCAAAGGCTTGGGACTCTTGTAGATGCTAAGGTGAGACCTTCATGAGGCTCTTCATTCATTCGCTCAACAAATATTTACCGAATACCTGCTATGTGCCAGGACCTGTTTGAGACCCTTGGGAGTCAACAGCGAGCAAGACACAGTTCCTACCTGCACAGTGCTTACACTCTACTGGAGCAAACAGACAATAATCAGAGAAACAAATAAACCTACTGTAGAATATAGTTTTAGGGAATCCGTGTTGTGTAGTAAGAGAAAACGTTAAGGGATAGATGAGAGTTGTTCTTTTCCGTGAGGTAGAGGTGATGTTCGAGCAGAGACTGGAATGCAGTCGATACCTGAGGGAAGAAGATTCCAGGGAGAAGTCTGGCAGGTGCCAAGGCTCTGAAACAGGGGCTGCGTCATGGGCTCGTGGAACAGCAAACAGTGCTGGGTGATTCCAGTGCAGGGCTAGGAAATGAGTTCAAAGAGGTTTGGAAGAGCACAGAGGAAGGTTTCCCAACTCTAAGCTCTGTAACCCACCCTCCGATCCTGCTCTGACTCTCAGCGCTTGGTCCTCCTGGAATTTGAACCTGGGCTTTGCTGGACAGCTTCTCTTGCCCACCCTCACCCCCCTTCCCCGCTGGCTCCCTCTGCCCTCACAGGACCCCTCGGCCAGATGCAGCCCTCGGCACACACTCCATCGCCAGTCCGTGGGCAAGAGGCCCACTGAGAAGCGCTTTGGTCACCAAGGTGGCTGTGCCTCCGCCATTGGTGTCCTGACTAAGTGCATGTCTTGATGCCCCAAGGTTGGCAGCAGGCAGGGAGAGTCCCCCCAAGGGAAGGCAGTGGGAGTCCTGTCTCTGGACCCCGCTTTCCCTTGCAGATCTCACTGGTGTCATCATGTCCCTGGCACAGTGAGACCTGCCTGTTCTTTACACTCTGACCTACACCTGAACACAGAGCCTTCCCTCAGTTTGCCCCAACCCAGCTGAGACCAGGCTGGACAGTTTAGCAAGACTTTACGGGAGGCCTGAACACAAACAGAGTAACTGACAACTGCCCAGGGCTGCCCATGGCTGCTCTCAAAACCATCAATACTGCCCATGGCTGTCCCCTGCCTGGTCAGCTCCTCCTGGGAAGTGGCCACCACCCCCATCACTGTCACCACCTGGCACCCCCTTTCCCTGCCCCTTGAACTCCTGGGGTCCAAGTTCAGGAGAAAGGAGCCCACAGAGAAGAAGGTGACAACCTCTCACCTGCCTGGGACCCGCCTCCAAGCTACTTCCTGTCCCAGCATCCTCCTCTTCCTGCCTGATTGACACTGGGAACGGCCATTCTCTGGGGAGACCCTGCCTGGCACCCTGAGGCTTGGAACCCCAGCTCAGTCACAACAGGGCATCAGAGCACTGTCCTCTCCAGGTCATTACTGAGATGGCAGATACTCACAGACCCACTGGTGCCCTTGGACTTGGTCTGTGCTGCCCTGAGCCACCTGGAGTGGAACTCCCACCTGGCCCAGTCCCTCAAAGATCACCTCTGCTCACCTGCCCCACCAGTCGGGAGCCAGAGCCCGGCAGGGCTGCCTTGCTGCCACCACCCTGCGCCCAAGCCACGGAGCCTTCATAGAGCACACGCTGGGGCTTTGTCCCTGGGGGCCGGGTGGGCTCATTGAGGGTTCCCTCAAGACCTAGACTAGGCTTGGGCTGAGCCACTCGTACCCTATTCACAAGATAGATACTAAAGTCAGGGTGCAGAGCAGTTGTCCAAATTAAAATAGGGCACTGAGGGAGTGGGGCCTGAATGCGCTGCCAGGAGAGCAGAGACGGAGCAAGGACGTGCCACCTAACACGGCTGCACACGCCGGTATTGCGTATATGGAGACGTGGTAGATATTGAGACGCAAGAGCATACTGCGGTCCAGACATGGAGTATGCGGGGAATTCCGGTTTCTGAGATGGGGAAGCTCGGCAAGGGGCGCTTGCTGAGGCGTGGAGGCGGGGGCTGGAATGCGGATTGGCTGACCCTGTGCGGGGATCGTGGCTACACCAGACTGCGCGTTCAGGGAAGAGGTCCGAAGCTTGAGGAAGAGAAAACGAAGTCTGGAAGAATTCACCGAGCCAGAGCTGTGGGCCACTGTGACATACGGTGCTGAGCTCATGCTTCTTGCCCCTCATAGAGTGGACAGTAGTGTCGTCTGGGACAGGGATGGGAACCGCCCATCCTACACGAGTTGCTTCTACCGCCCAGGCAAGGTGAGCACAATACAAATGTCCCCAAAATGAAGGCCACCCTGCCTCCAGGAGAGTGACAGTTACGAACACTTACCCATCCCTGACTTCCCAACACCATCGCAGCCACCCTGTTACGGGTTGGTGTCCCCCCAAAACTTTTACGTTGCAGTTTAACCCCTAGTACCTCAGAAAGTGGCATTATTTGGAGACAGTGTCTTTGTACAGAGGTAATAAGTTAAAATGACCTCATTACAGTGAGGCCTAATCCAGTATGAGTGGGGTCCTTACAAAAACGAGGAAATTTGGGCACAGAGAGGAAGATGATGTGAAGAGACACAGGGAGAAGGAAGACAGCCACCTATGAGCCAGACAGAGAGGCCTGTGACACTTCAGCCCTCACAGCCCTCAGAAGCCACCAACCCTGCCAATACATTGATCCCCCATGTTCGGCGTCGAGCTCTGTGGGACAGGAAGTAGCTGTTGTGTAAGGCACTGGGACAGGAAGTAGCTGTCGTTTACGGCACGCGGTCTGTGGTACTTTGTTATGGCAGCCCTGACAAACTAACCCAGACCCTCGGGGGAGGACTTGTTATCTCTGCTTCACAGAGGAGGAAACTGAGGCTCGGAGAGGTCGGGTGTCCCCTCAGGGGCCCTCCCACCCAGTAAGAGGCGGAGGTTTTGGCTCCCAGCCTTTTTCCCGAGTGCGGAGCTGCTCCTCTCGAGGCAGGGAGGGCTCGGGGGCTCTGGGTTTTCCCGCACCCGGAACCGCTGTAAACAGAGAAGCCTGTCACCATGCCCGCTCTCCACCCTCCTGCGGTAAGATGGCAACGCTGCCAATCATCTCCCCTGGCGCCTACTCAGGACAAAGCACCTGTTCTCCAAAGGGGTGCCAGGATCCGATTCCTGGCAGCCAGAGAATGAAAAGCCGAGTGTTTCCTTGTTTACCTTGCAGAGCCCACAAAAGCCTTGCCAGGCACCAGCTCTGCAAACCCACGGAGCTTAACCTCAGGGAGGTAAACGAGATGGCTGCAGGGAACATTGGAAAGTGACAATGTGCAGCTGTCCCCTTCTCACCTCATCGCATGGGAGCCGCATTAACTGAAACCCTTCAAGAGGCCCACGGGCCACCCGTCTTAGCCTCCCCATACCTGGATGATGCAGGGGTTGGGCTCTGATGTCCCTTTTGTCAGCCAAGGAAATCCAAGCTCAAGGGAGCAGAGAAATCCACCCCAAGTCACCCCGCTGATCAGTGGCAGAGCTGATGTCAAACACAGCCTTTTGTTGTCTCTCCATAGCATGCATCTGGAAGCCATTACTGAGCGCTAGCTGCTCGCACTAAGGAAGATGTGGAAGAGGGAAAACATGAATCAGCCTTTCTACACTGCCTGGAGTAGGCTCCTCCGACCTCTCCATCGGGGTTGCCTTGCGAACTTGGTTTCCCAAAAGCGTTGAAATCGGGAATCAGGGTAGTCCTACGACCCACAGCCCGCAAGGCCACAAGGCAGGTCTCATGTGACCACTGTACCTTGCTGGCTCATGTGGAACAGGCCTCTCCCGACTTCTCCCACGAGGCAACAGAGCAGGGAGAAAATTCCAGGTCATAAGATAGCTCTGGGGCTTCCAAGTTCTACCATCCATATCAATGTTGTTAATTCCACGGGATCAGCTCTCCGGTTTCCTGCTCAGAGAGACTCGAGGGGTGGCTGGTTTGAAGAATGGAGGAGGTTTTAAGGGGAAAATAATTGGCCTTCAATGTTCACATCACAGCTAAAGAATAATGATAAAATTTGGCAATAGGCACAGTATTGATGCATTCACCCATCCTGTTGGGCCCTGAGGGGACAGTGACCAGGAGGAAGGCAGGACTCTGGGCTCCGGAGCTCCCAGCAAAGAGGGCAGAGTGAGGGGAGAAAGGCTTTGCATCCAGAAAAGGCCCTGCAGGACTAAGGGCCTGAGGAATAATGTCCCTCCTCCTCGGGGGTGGTGGGGGCCACACACAGGGGTGATAACCTCTCCCCAGGGGTCAGCGAAGCTTCAATTCTCGACTGGAGCTTCTCCTTGAGGAGCAGGACAAAAAGAGAAGGTCTTTCCAGCAAATCAAGCAGCTGAACAGGAATTAGCTATGGGTACAACCCTCACTCTCATTTTTTTGAAAATTGAGATTTAATTTATTAATACATAACAGAAAATTAACCATTTACAAGTGGGCAATTCAGTGGCATTGAACACATTCAGACTAGTATGCAGCCACCACCTCTATCCAGTGCTAAAACATTTTCAACCTCCCAAAAGGAAATCCTGTTCCCTTGAAGCAGCTGCTCCCCACCCCCCTCCCAGCCCTTGGCAACCACCAATCTGCGTCCTGTCCCTATGGATTTACCTATTCTGGGAGTTTCAAATGAATGGAATCATACGACACCTTCTTCTTAACAGCCGGCAGAGCCACAGTTTGAGAAGGGCTGGATTGGGGTTTTTGCTTTTGAAATATTTTCACCTTCGTTGAGACTATTTTGTGTGTGATCATGAAAGTTGCAGAGTTCATGGCAGAAAACCTAGAAACAGAGCGAAGCCCAAAGAAGAAATTTTAAATTGCTACAGTTCCTCTCTCAGAATAACTATGCTAATATTTTGGAGACAAATAAATCTTCCATTCTTCCCCCCCCCCCCCATGCAAATACAGGTGAGCAAATAGTTTGCTGTGGGCCTCGTCCTGGTTTCTTAACCTCTCGGTGTCTCATTCCCTTGCCTGTACGATGGAGATGTTAATAGTTCCCACCTTACAGGTTTATTGGGAGGATAAAATGAGTAAAAAATGGTACGAGCCATGAGGTATGTGCTCGGTCAGTGCAGTACACATCAGCTATTATTATGTTTTTCTGCACAACTCAATGACATGAGGTTATTATATCTGTAGAGAAAGACACCGAGGGTCAGGGAGGTCAGTAATTTGCCAAAAGGCAAAAAGAAGCAAATAGTCTTCTGAGTACCTCTGTGTGCTAAGTCATTATTGTTGGCTCATTTACTAGAGAAGGAAACTGAGGCACACTGAGAGGTTAAGTGTGTCTAAGGTCATGCAGCTAGTCAGCTGCAAAGCTGGTGGTCATGGCAGGCTTTCTGTCTTCCTCTGTCCTACCCCATTGCCCCCTGCCGTGTGGCAAGGCCCCTCATCTGGGGTTTAGGGTCACATGGCCAGAGCCCCTCACCTGTGTGTGGTTCTGATCCTGCCTTCCCGGGTTCCCAGGGCTGCTGTGTGCTTCTTCCCTGCCACCTGGCTCTGGTCACCTCCTGGCTGAAGCTGCAGACACTCA